CATTAAGCTCTTGAATTAATTCCATGTATACAATTGAGTCTTTTCAAAGTAAATAAATTTTTAAACCTTAAGATATATACAATTTTATTCTTTTTTTTAATAATAAACTGCAAAGTTGCAAATATATATATATAAAGACAAAATTACATAAATTATGCGGTTCATAGGTTTATCTAATTTGAAAAAACTAAAAAAGACTTAATTTAAAATATAATATCAGTCTACGAGTTTAATGCTGTCTCAAACCAAGTGCTAATTTTTTTCTAGAAAAAATGCGACCAAGGGTTAATGTTTTATAGCCCAATCCAAACATCAGATAATTTCCAATTTGGGTTTCAGTTTACTGATTTTTCTCTTTGGGTCTTTGGGCTAACTAATAATATTCTTCCCCAGTCCAAACTTCAACCCCGGGTTTCACTGTAAAACGGGTACTGTTTCCGTATGGGAGCTAACTTGACTTGTGCAATGGGAAAGGTCGGAGCTTGAACTATTTGTATCGATCCAATTCAGCGATCCACCCTCCTGCTGCTTCTTCTTCTTCTCCTTTCGTCGAAGTGATCACAAACCCTTCAGGGAAAAATGAGTGTAAGCTAATTCATCCAAGAAATTTGAATCCTTTTTATCTGTTTTTTGATCTAATTCAAGAATTTCTTCACTTGTGTCTGAATCTTTTTCTCTTTTCTTAAATGGCAGTATATGGATTCAAAGATGTCCCAGCATGGCCTAATTGGGTCTGAATCTGATTCACAGAGAACCCTGTAAGTTCTCTCTCTTAATCTTACTGTTGGTGTGTAGATATATGTGTAAGAGAACTAGGGCTTGTTGTTGTTGTTGGGTATTCTCCTTTTGAATTTTTTGTGGGTTTGGAAATTTTGGATAGATACCCATATGTGACCGGTACATCAGTGGTGGCTTTGAAGTACAAAGATGGGATTCTGATGGCTGCTGATATGGGGGGTCAGTTTTCGCACATTCATTAGTCTCTCTCCTGTTCCTTTTGTTTTTCATTTGGCTGTGCTAGTATGCAATTGGAAGAATAGAAATTTGGGTCTTTTATGATGGTTGTTCATTTCAAAGATGGAATCTTAACTTTACATCCTAGTTGGTCTCTTCAGTTCGATTGTAATGTTATTGAGATTATCAATTATTTTCTTTCAATATTCATTCATTTGTTGAGTGCCATCTAAATCCTGTTACTGTTTGTTTTGACCGTGCTGATAATAAGCTTTGTGGATTTAGTGGCCCCAAGTTGTGCGAATATGCCACTGTAGCTCAAGTTGGGTGAATAAGCTTGCTGATAATTGCTAGTTTTTATTCCTTAATCTGTTATTTACTAGGAGATAATCTTGAGAACAATGTTTGAGGTGATGCTTAATTGTCATTATGTCCCTAACTAATCAGTCTTGGTTTCATGTTAAGATAGAATGTGCTTATGTTGTATTTCTCTAATATGTTTATTGAGTGAAGAAGTTGAGACTAGCAGGTTGTCGAAAAACAATATTTTCTTGATTATAAGTGTTATTATTTATCAAATTCTCTGCCATTAGTTTCTTTTCATGAACCATTGTTTTCTTGATGTTCTGTTTCTTTATGTCTATATTGCATAAACTGACTATATTGCATAAACTGACAGGTTCCTATGGTTCCACTCTGCGGTACAAGACTGTTGAACGAATGAAGCCCATTGGCAAGCATTCCCTTCTCGGTGCTAGTGGAGAAATAAGTGATTTTCAGGAGATTTTGCGTTATCTTGATGAGCTTATGTAAGCATTGAATCTCAATTTTAGTCTTGGACCTTTTGCTTTTCTTTTTGGGCTTTTACTTAGTTCTTATTTGTTTATTTATTTATTTTGTATTGGGGGAGCTGGTGACATGATGCCTGTGCCTTCTTTACTTAAAACTTATTATTTATAATTTTTGCTTTTGTTTCTTAATATTGCAGCTTGTATGACAATATGTGGGATGATGGCAACTCTTTTGGGCCTAAAGAGGTGCACAACTACTTGACTCGGGTGATGTACAACAGACGTAACAAGTTCAATCCACTATGGAACTCCCTAGTACTTGGTGGGGTAAAAAATGGACAGAAGTATCTTGGAATGGTAGTAGCTTTTGACTCTTTTAAGTTTTATATTTTTCCTAATGGTTAACCAAGAGGAAGTTGCAGCTTTAACAATGCTTCTTACCTGACTTCTTGTCACTCTCCAGGTCAGTATGATTGGGGTAAACTTTGAGGACAATCATGTTGCAACTGGCTTCGGAAATCACCTTGCACGTCCAATACTTCGTGACGAGTGGCATGAGAACTTGAGTTTTGAAGACGGTGTCAAACTACTGGAGAAGTGCATGCGTGTGCTTCTCTATCGTGATAGATCAGCTGTCAATAAGCTTCAGGTTTGGATAATTTTCCTTCATATTTGTAATCTCTTAAATCTTGTTCTCTATTTAATTTTCAACCTATGATATTGCATGGGCAGTCTATATCTCTTCCCTGCCTAACCATGTTCCAGCATTCCCCCTCTCAATTTGCTTTCATAACTTATTATATCAATCCTTTGGAATCTAAATGCTTGCAGATTGCAAAGATCACAGAAGAAGGTGTGACAATTTCCCCACCATATTCCTTGAAGACCTTCTGGGGGTTCTCAGCATTCCACAATCCAACGGTCGGTGCTGAAGGATCATGGTAGCCGTATAGCAAACCAGTGGGTTGAATTTCCTTACCTGGTGTTGAAAGGAGTTAGTCAACCAACCAGTAGCTAAAACCATTGGATTGTTGTTTTAGATAACAAATCGAAACCTTTGATGCATCTTTATGTTTTATGAACTAATCAAGCCTGAGGTTGATTGATTATCTCTGTTTATGGCGGGTCTAACTCTAAGTTCACCAATTTATCTTTCTCATTTCTGTGTTGCACTAAATTTTTACATCTGGTATGCATTGTGTAGATTTAGCACATTTTAGGCAGTCTCTGGATGATTAGACATGATTCTATATTTCCATGTGGTCTTTGAAATATTCGTTTTAGTGGGCAAATTTATTTCATATTATCAAATGTACCTTGAGGACTGATTTGCAAACCGCCCCAAAGTAAGCGGCCTTTTTCTCTTTTTGCCTCTTAAACTGTATGAATTGTGTTTCTATTTTGGCCATTAAACTGTATGAAAAAATTTTCTCCTCAACAAATTAAAAAAATTATGAAATAATTTTCCTTTGAGACTTAAATTTTTTGTTTTTTGATATTTACTGGCTCTTAAAAGGTGAAAACAAGACTAGAGAAAACAAACATATGATATATTTAAACTATTTTATGGAAACCCCAATTTAAATGTTTAATTTAATTATAGAAGATTGTTTTAAAATTTAATAAATTGAAAAGTTAATATTTCAGATAGATATCTATACATTCAATTGTTCAATTTATTTTTTATTGCCAAAACAAGATTATTGAAAAAGTTTAAATTGTAACAAAATTTAAAATTAATAATAATTTGTTTATTTTTGGCAAAACCTAATATTTTTTTTGAGATTATGAAAAAATAAAAATATTAAGATATCTAATCATAATTGCAAAAAAAAGACATATAATATAACTCTCATCTAAAATTTTTTTATTATGTTATTAATACTAAACATATTGGTTTTTTTTTAACATAACTAAAATCATATTAATTTAACAAAATCATATGGCATTTATATAAAAAAAATTTTACCTCATTGATAAGAACTTGATTATACATAAGATATTAAGTATAATTGGAAATACAAAATAAGGGTAAATTAAGTTTAACATAAGATTAATATTAAAAAAAGATAGTAAATAGATTACAAGAACAACTTCTAAACAACCTAATATTTACATATTTCTGTCATCCAACATTTCAATATTAGTGAACATCCTACAATCTATTCTTGAAACAGATTAACTCAATCTCTATGATGCCGTGGCTAGCACATAAGTTGGTAGCAACCAACCCCTTAACTTCTTCTATATTATCTTCTTGACCATTATAGCTGAACTAAATAGGCAAAAAAAAGAGAGTTAAATTTTTAATTTGGTTCTTAAATTATTGTATAAAATTTTCATTTGGTTCATAAATTAAAAAAATTTTTAATTTGATCCTTAAACTATTGTACATATCCTCTATTTGGTCTCTACTGTTTACCAATTTACCCCAAGTTGATCATTCTATACAAAAACAGTTGACGTGCCTCGTTATTAACGTGACACGTGACCGTTAAGTTATTATTTTTTGTCGTTAAGTTACTATTTTTTGTCGTTAAGTTACTATTTTTTGTCATTAAATACTAGACATGTTATTTTTTTTTATACGAAAAGACTAATTTGAGGTAAATTGATAAATAATAAGGACTAAATTGGGGTCTGTACAATAGTTTAAGGATTAAATTAAAAATTTTTTTAGTTTAGAGACCAAATTGAAGATCTATATAATAGTTTAGGGACCAAATTAAAGATTTAACCAAAAAAAGGACAAAGATCACCAGAAGGGGTCACAAAGGAAACAGACTGAGGAGTAGTAAGGTCCAAGGGGTGCGTAGTCTGATAATCTACGGACTCCCCTGTTTCAGCAAATCGGAAAGCCCTAAACTTGACAGCACCAACAAAAACAACAGTTGAGATTAAAGAGTACGAACGATCCAGCAACCATCCGCAGACACAATGCTTCAATTCCCATTCTCCGATCCGAGTCCTAATTTCAACCCCAATTCAAAAGCCTCCACCTTTATCTTTCCAGCCCCACCCCCACCCCCACCCTGACCCTGTCACCTCCTTGCATCTCCTACCACTTAAGTCAGGTCGTGCCTCTAGCACCAATTGATTCCTTTTTACATCCTTCTCTCCTCCAGATGGTCAGCTAAGGCGGTTTTTAAGTCCTTTTCTGCACCGCCTGAGAAGGTAAGGTTCTCTTCTTTGGTCTCTTTTTGGAGGGTTTTAGTGATCTTTGTGAAGTTTTGTTGTTTGGGTATTTTGAGTTTGGCTTGTTTATGTTGTTTCAGTTAATGGGTTTGTTTGCTTTACTGAATTTTTCTTTTGGTTATTGTGAGTTCAACTGGTCTCCCTTCTTACTATAAGATCTGGGTTTTTATTTATTTATTTATTTATTTATTTATTTTGCTAGTAATTCATGCTGATTATTATTGTTCTTTTGATTTAATTTTGCTCATCTAAGAATATTGGGTTCTCGATCAATTTAGGGTTTTAGTGTCTTCACGATGTTCTTTTCTGTGCATGCATACAAGTTGTCTTTAAGGGTGTTGATTGATATACACTTAGAATTTTGGGAATATTTCTTGAGGTCACTCAAATTGTCCATGCTGAAATTTCTTGGGAGAACAAACTGAATACCTAACTCAACTATCTGGCTAATTTATAAATGCTCAAATTGAGTAGATATACAAATAAGGTTCTTTTCCTATCCTATATGCTGTTCTCTAATGCTTCCAGATGAAGAATTAATTGTTTTTCTTTCTTTCCATTTGTAATCACTTGATTGACGTGTCATGAATGAATGGTTTGTTTGTTTTTGTATGAATTCTGAAATTTTTTTTTTCTGTATTGGATCACTGACAGTTGTATCAGGCGAAGTCAAAACCCTTTTCACTACAATGGAAGGCTTTGGTGGCTTGGGGTTCAGTAACGTTAGCAGTGCTACAAGGAAGAAAAGGAGCAGTAAATCTCGTCGCCCTCGGAATGAAGCCCAGCAGCAATCAGAATTTCATGATATATCATCATTGTCATCCACACCTCCTTCAGACAATGTAAATGAACGAGTAATGATGTTTATGATTATTCTTTAAGAGAAAAAAAAAAAAAAAAGAAAAAACCGGTTCAAACCATGGAGTTGAAGCTTGGCTTTATTTACTAATGTTGTTGGCGCTGAATTTGTACAGAATTTGATCAATATTGAAGATGGAAAACAAGGAGATTCTGATGAAGCTTCTAATGATGGAACTTTTCGAGGTGGCAATGAGTGGAAGCAGAGTGGACTGGATTCCAAAAGGCACAGTGAAGGTGTTCTTGCCCCAACTAATTGGAAAAGCACGAGCAATGATGGAAGTTTTGGAGTTGTTTCAGATGGATTAGAAAATGAGAAGAAAGTAAAAAAGGTTAAACTTAAGGTTGGTGGTGTTACACGCACCATAGATGCCAAATCTGTTACAGATGGCTCTTCATCTGGGAAATCTACTCGCTTTTCAGGTGCCTCTCATTCACTCCAGAAATTTGTCATCCAGGTATCTATCCTCCATAACATCCAAATTGCTACCTTTTTCCTGCTTTACCGCTTTGTTTCCTGCTAAAACAATTTTATGAAACTATCATTGCAACTAATTAAGTTATTTACCTTTTCAACTTCATTCATTTTATGAAATTATATGAAACAACATAAATGGATTTTTTTGGAATTTTATATTTGCAGATTCCTATTTTGAAAAAAAAAAATGAAGTGTATTAGTAGTTGACCATTAATATGAATATATAAAATGTAAAAAAAAATATATATATATTTTTTTATGAGAAATTCATTTCATTTTGTATTGAATGACCTTGAGTATTGTAAATTTCTCCTTCTGGTGGCCTAACAAATAAGTTTCAATCAGAACTTGGCTTCTTTTTCCTGTTGATATTGAAGCAAGACATATTAATGGCCGATTTGTGCTGTTCTCTCAGATGTCTGTAGCTCCTATTGGAGTTCTTTTGGCTAATTTTATATTTTTGGCAGGATATCTCTGATGACCATCCTTCCGTTATCCGAGAAAAGGGCAATGGTCTAAGAGGGGCTCCATGGAAGGATTCCTTACAAAGCGGTTTAAGTGCTGGAAAGGTAGATCCCTCAAGTGGTAGGGTATCTGATGACAGTTTCTCAACAAAGTATGATACTATCCGTAAGAGTAAGCGCGTTCCTAAGAAACGGCTGTTGGAGGGAGTTCTTGATGATGATGAAGATGATGATGAGATTCGTTACCTTGAGAAGGTCAGAACAACAAGGACAACTGCTGATTATGGTGTGGACTATGAAGATGATGAAGGGGATAGAAAACTAAGAAAGATATCAAAGGTATTGAAGAGGGATATGCATGCCCTCTATGATGTGGAATTGGAAAATTATCCCTCATCAAGATTGGGCAAGGATGGTAAGAAGTCAAGATCAGCAAGAGCATCTGAAGATACGGATTATGTGGAAGAGGAAGAATCAGTCTCTGATGTTGAACCTGAAAATAGGAAGAAGAAAGCAAGAAAGGAGACAATTGATTTGCTGGGGGATTCAAAGAAGGAAATGACTGTTACTACACGTCAGCGAGCCCTACAAACTGGAAAAGAAATCTCTTCTAGTTTGAATGTCAATCAAATTGAATTCCCAAATGGATTACCTCCTGCTCCATCTAAAAGTATTTGTTTGTTGCTTTTGCACCTTTTAATTTTTGTTATTTTTGAACATGATTCTGCTGTGCATTTGTTAAACAAGCTCATAATTGTATGCTTAAATGGTCTTGTGACAGAGCAAAAAGAGCAACTTTCTGAAGTTGAGCAGCAACTGAAGAAAGCTGAGGCTGCTCAGAGGCGTAGGATGCAAGTGGAGAAGGCAGCTAGAGAATCTGAGGTATGACCTTCTTTGTTTCCTTCAAAATAAAGTCCCTGACTTTTTTTTTTTTTTGATGTGCAATAGTGAGGGCGGATGTGTTCTGCTTGCAAGTCAATTTAATATTAAGGGGAACCAAAGAGCTAATTAACCCTGAAATTTTAGGCTGAAGCAATCAGAAAAATTCTGGGGCAAGATTCCAGCAGGAAGAAGCGGGAAGATAAGATGAAAAAGAGGCAAGAAGAATTGGCACAGGTAACTTCATAGTGAGATTTCTCTTCCGAACCATCTAACAGCTTCTGTCTTTCACATTTTTAATATCTTTATTTACCTTGTTCAGGAAAAAGCTGCTAACGCTACGGTACTGAAGTCTGACTCTGTGAGATGGATCATTGGCCCTTCAGGAACGGTTGTAACTTTCCCTGATGAGATCGGATTACCAAGTATATTTGACGCCAAACCTTGCAGGTATGTTTGATGCTCTTCCAATTTAAATTGTTTAGATAATAAACGTTTAAAGCTTCTATAAAAAAATTTTTAAAAAATGAAAAAATGGAAAAAAAAAAGGTACTTTTGGAAGAATTGTGAATAAGGAACCTTTTATGTCTGAATAATGACAATGATCATGAAAACAATTATCCCCGTGTTAGAATGATATAACCCACGTTGTTCATGAAAATTCATC